TTATTGGTTGGTAACAGGACATGGCTAGTGTCAACAGTTTTGGCTTCTATACAATTAATTTTGATATCCTTATTTATCATATTCTTCAGACAGTTTAAAGCAAAGAAAGAAGTAACTCAGAAATTTAATATTTTAGTTGTAATTATTGCGTTCAATGCATAGGTTAATGGCACAATACAAACTGAAACTGTCATCGAAGAAGATAAAAGAGAATTATTACAATTTGAAGAGATGAACGAAACTGTTGAAGCAGTAGAAATTGACAAAGAAGAAACATTAGTCTAAAAATAATTTTCAAAATATTTAATTATTTATCATAAAATCAATGGAAATAATATCTAAAGCGTTACTTTGATCTTGTAAGCATAAAATTAGAAGGCTGTTCTATTTCTGGCTTACAAGATGAAGATCTAATTATGATAGGCGGAGCTGGAAGAGATGAAAAGTGATTACGTGGGCGTTACAGAATTCGCAAGGAAGTGACAAAAATTATTAAAACCAGGACAAATACAGAAACAATATACAATAAAACAAAAACAACACTATAAAACACAGAAAACAAACACAAAATTAATAATCAGTAGCTACTACAATTCTTTAATAATAATATAAAAAATTAATGTAAATTCGGGAAATCTGCTATAGTCAAGTCTATCTCTACAAGCCCATACAAATACTGCACTGGATTTCCATTTTTATCATGTTTTCCTACTAATTCGTAAAATTGAATAAAATCACCCTCTTTAATTTTATCCAGAACATCTTCATTGTTGATATAATTCAAGAATAAATGCTTTAATTGATATTTCTTGCTACTGATAGCTAAAGCATTACCAAATGCTAAAGTCATCTGTGTATATGAGCAGTCAAGCCAGAGATGAGTGAGATTTGCATAAAGTACTGGATCTACTGGTAGTTTCATAGCTTTAAGTTTAGTTGGTCCACAATTAATATAAAGAACTGAGAGACTATGGCATTTCTGAAGTATGCTTTCAAGCCCTTCAATAATGTATGACTTCACTGTAGCAGTTCCTTTATAGAAAATATTGATTTCCAGACATAAAAGAGACTCCAGATTTGAAATAATTAAAAGCAAATGTTGACTAATAAAGTAATCTAACTCTTCAGTTACAGCAGTCTCGATGACAGAAAGACCTTTGAGTCTGGTCATTCTCTTAATATCATTGATAACGCTTTCCATTACTGCCAACTCTCTATCAGTTAGGACTCTTGCTGAATGTTCATCATGCTGTGAGTTGGGGGTAAGTGGTGAGAGAGAGCAACAGTTGACAGACAAATATTCCAAATATTTCATTCTTGATAAAAGATTCCAAAAGTGTTCCACGTCAAAGTTGATACTATCTCCAGAACTACTGAAACAAGACACATCTAATCCTCTTAGTTTGAGGCAGTGTACAGATAATGGAACCATGTAAGCATCAAGACAATCTGATATAATACTTCCCTTCAAACTGACCTCCAATACGTTAGGGGTCTCCTTGACAATCATACGAAAGGAGCCGAGTGATACGGTTACAGAAGAAAATCCAAGCATGGTAATGTTAACTCCATATTGACTGGTATAAACTGACAGACCAGGGGTGACAGCTTCATCTTTAAAAACAGCATATCGTTGACTAGCATCATCATTCATTGGTGTGATCATATCTCTCATTGTAACCATGAGCTCCCCATTAGCAGTCACAGCAACAGATTCAGAACTATTGGGGCCAATTTCGAACGAGTACTCGGGTAAATCATAAAAATCAAAGTCCAAAGGTCGTCGAAGCTTCATGTAAGCTGCAAAATAAGCCGAATGAGTGATATTAGGAAGAGGGTGTGTATTCCTAGACCAATCATATTTCTTGTCCTTCAATGAAATGATGATAAATATTTGTGGCAAACAGTTGTTCAACAGCCATCTCTTAAACAGTTTCCTGATCTTTTCAGGCGAATTGAAAACCATGACAAGTTTTTTTAACTTTGAAAAAATTGCAAAATATTCCACAATATAAGCTATTGCAGTGTGAATGTATGTCACGCTTAAGCACTGTAGATGAGGTAAATCTGAAAAAATCTTCTTCAGAGCATTAAGAGAAATTTCAAACCCATAAAGATTCAATGTATGAATATTTTTAGATGTGACAATAATATGTTAGTATTTACTGAACGGTAGCTTTCCCTTTAAACTGAGCGACTGTACATGTGGGCGACATGTTCGTAAAGCTGATTTGATGAATGGAGCATTTGTCTTATTATATGCATGATCAATAAAAACATTTCTCCACAAATAAGGATCTGAACATATGCTGTAAAGTCTTCGATTGACTAATCGAAGGGACATCTTATCTCTGAGTGAGAGCATCGTGCATATCTCTTGTATTACCTCATTTGGTAG